TGGTCAAATACTGTTACGGCCGCCCTTTAGTAGCTGTCTTACACGCGGATCGTTCAATCGAACAACTTCATGATCCCGAAATTTGTACGATTCTTTATCGCAAACCCCACGATCAACCGAAACGTCCGATAATAATAGAACACAACGAACACCGCTCAATAGTGGAATCACATATAATACGGTATCTGAAAATGTACAGTGATACAATAAATTTTGTATACATACTTGACCGTGATCCTCAGTAGGCGGACCGTACGATGATAGCCGAACAAGTGGAGTGTTAATGCTCAACCGAGCGGAATCAAACGAAAATCGAAACCGTTATGTTTTACAGGAATAATAATAAATGGTACAGATTAACCATGGCCAGATTAAAGGAGAGAATGCCACTCACAAATATATCTGAGTCATGAAATGTTGTTTTCATCATCATCTACGGTGCTTCAGCGGCCGTAACAGGCATATTGTTCTTTTCATGGACATTGGATAATGTCAATGGTGGATGACGATAGAACCATTTGATCCGCATTGAACAGCTATCCGTTTATGGATCGTTCTTTACCAAATCCATTCGGAGAATTAAAAAATACCACGGGTGATACCGCGAACGCAGTGAAACAAAAACTAATAAGGAGAGTTTGGCAATCCGACAGTGCACCACCGTCAAACGAGGACGGATTTCACCTTCAGGTTAACTATTGTAAAGATGATTTACTGATTTCAGGTAGGAACTATTTGCACTCTCAATTGAAGGTTTATTCGGGACATGATGAGGAAGATGCGTGGGCCATTAGATACAAAGCTTACCCACAATCTCCTTCCCTATTTTGTCCCGATTGGCCTTTGCATGGAAGTTTTTTCTTTTTGTAAAGATAATTGTACTAAGGTTTGGTCGGGTAGACGGTCTGGATTCAGACGTGAGCGAAATACCATACAATACACCTTTGCATGAGTGTGAAACTAGTTTCCACTAACACGTGTCATCGAAAGGTAGTTGAACTGGGACAGGTCTTAGGGCCCCAATCACTCGGTGGGGTTCGCAGTAGAATGCGGTGGTTGGATTCACTTAGAGTTGCAACGGTTGAAAAGGTATACTGACCAATAATTTCAAGCTATGATGGTATAGCGCAGAAGTTCCTGTGCTAATAGAATGGTGAAATAGCTAACTGAAAAAAATTGATCAGTGGGCACAAGGCAATAACCGAACGGGAAAAACCTGAAATTAATTTTGAACTTTTTTCGAAAACTTTGATGGCAGTGTAAGCACCGATGAATACCACTAAAATTTTAAGTGAGAGTGATGATCGTACGATCACCGTCACAAGCAGCGGAGACGAACATCAAGAGAGGAAAGACAAATCCGCAGCAACCATTTCTTTGTCTGAAGTTGGATCCAACTGTTAGCCCTTTTTGTTGAAAGTCACGACTTGAAACTACTGCTTGGTTGTAGACGAATATGACCTTACATTACCCAACTCAGATTATTTGCATTCATGAGTCAAGTTTTCCAGTGATGAATCGTGGGAAGTTGGACCGGTCCGTGGATTTCAACCTGGCTGGGTATTGAGTGACACTTGGTGGCACTCCTCTTAGGTATCAAAAACACTTCAAAGAATTTGGGAATGCATCAGCCAAGTGCGATAAAAAGTAACCCTAGTAGCACCAAAAATCGATATTATCTTCCGGATTCAAACAAAAACCGACATCAATGCACTCTTCTTGAATTAAACAGTGCGAGTGTAAGGTCTCCACAAATATCTTTGAAGGAGTCTACACGATTCTAGTCCAAATGACTGCATCTTTATATCATGAGTCTCGAGTAACTAGCCTTATTCGGCAGTGATGGCGCTAGTAGAAAAGTAACTACATGGATAGGCATGAGAATTACGAATGGTGCCCCGTTTAGCTCAGTCAACCATTAACCTTACACAGTAGTTCCGGATGTTCCTTGCGGTACTGCAGGGTTAGAGTACAAAGGAATCCAAACTGAATGACCAAGTACTGCTAGTCAGAGATCACATTTGAAGAATTGGCAGAGAAAATACACCATAACCTCCTCTCGATAGTCTGGATATCTGTAGTAGTAATCGTAGCAACAGCAGTAGGATAAGCCCTCATTCGCAACACCGGGTAAATTCCCTGAGTACAAGTATATGAATGAAAAGATAAAAGACTTCCGGATAAGCGTGCCTGACGAGGGACAAGAACCGTGAAACCGGTCATGTGCTTCCAGGGAAATTTTCGTCATTCATATTCTACTTATTGTAACAAACATGCATATATTCATGATAACCACAAACCCAGGCCCCGTGATCTGGAGAGGGGAACCATATAAGGTACCAATGGGATAGGAGTAATATTGAGCCGGATGACAGCGAACCTTCCAGTCACCGAAGAGTTCTTCTGCTATCATTGTAATGAGAATAGTTGTTGCAAAAACAGAAAGAGCAAACACAACATTGAAGTAGGCAAATCCATGAGGGATCCCAATGTACAGTCAGCATTCAGGAAGGAAGGCCGCGGCCATACAAAGGCCGCCTGGGAAGACGGGCGGCAGTGGAGTGAATCGAACCCGGGACTCACAAGTTGGTGACCTGGTCACCACCGCCCCTCTCCCTATGCAAACAAGACCAATGTCATATTGCACGGGGGTGAAGCTCGTAACATGCAACCAGTGGCCAAACCACATATTTTTTCGGAAGACAGATGTTTTAATTGATTCATCCGATCTGTGAGTAAGGTCTACGTATAAAACCTCTATGCACTCATCCCGTTCGTTCTGACGAGTTAGTATACTGAGCCCATGGAATAGATCTTCTGTCTTCCTTGATGTTGTTTACAACAATGTCATTGACATAAACACAGCATAAATCTAGTTTTGAAATATCTTCAAATCTTTCTTATGGGTGGCAAGGATTGATCTCAGTGGACTGTCTATGTTGGCCCCACTTATCTGCGACATCTTATGCTTGATGTGCACACTAATGGAGGTGACATTTCACTGCTAGGTAACGCGACCCGCAATTAATTTTCTTCAATTGTCCGACAGACAATCGCAATTATCTTATGCAGCGGAGCATTTGTGAATGAAGATTCGATATCCATGACTAACATTGGCCTTTGTTGGATATTTGTATGCGTCAAATGTTTATTCATCTCATCCTTGACATTACGCCGAGCGATCGAAGGCCTCATCGACACTAGAACATCACCTAATCACTTCGATTATGCATGTTAGGATGAAATGATCATGCTTAGAATGGGTGGTAATGGAACAGCGTCTTAATGCAGCTTCCGTAAGCCGTAATTTGTGGTGTCTGAGTTCATTTCGGGCGCAAACATTTGGCCAGGGATGCTTTTGTAAGGTTCGCCTGGGTTAGGGTTCTCAGTTTCGCACAGACTTAATTCACTAATTCATTTAGATAATCTGGAGTTTTGTCAGGCTTATACTTGGCTTTAATTCGTAAGATGTGCAACATCATCTTTTATTTGTAGTATGATTTATCCCTCACTACTATACCAGAACACTTATCGGGACGCAACACTACAATATGTCGATTACCTTTCAATTGGTTCAGTGCCTCGTCGTGTGCATCCGTCAGTAAAGTCTGCTTTGTGCTTGTAATCCGGTATTGATACACTAATTTTGCTTCCCACTCATTCAAATTATCCTCATTAGTAGGTTCCATACTTGACAGCTGGTCAAAAACGGATTCAAACACCGCTTCAGATTCAAATACAATTGCACGCCCTTGGTGGATAACAATAAATCAGACCATATGGCAGCCTTGAGTTGCAGTCGCAATCTTAGGCAGTGAATGTTGCATTTTGTAGGGGTCAAAAGTGACGCTGGCTTGAAACATGTGCATTTCGAATTGGCGCTTTCGGAAGACTACTCCTTTTATTTCATATCAGTTTCTTTTACTCTAATTGTTTCCCACAGTTAACTTTTGATCGTTTCCCATGACGTTTCCAGAAGGTGCTCTGTCAAATACCTTGGAGTTGCCGTTTCAGGTAATCAGTTATGGTCTCCTCATGTCACCGATACATTTCACAAATTCGGGAAACTCACCCTCTACGCTATTCGTCTGAACATCTTACCTACTCAGATCCAGTGAATGGAATGTTTTGTTTATTCCTGCATCATTCCCCACTAGCATAATGGATCCACAGTAACCCTTTAATTTCTGTTTATCCGATACTTCACAATTAAAAGTAGTTCAAATACCTTTGTCAACACAGTGGTCCATCCCGCGAACTAATTGCGCATTTTTCAAGTTCACAACTGCTGGAATACTGCTTGACTCATCTCACTCTCTTCACCCCTATAGAAGCAGATGCATTTCCACATTAGCCACTCACTTCAACTACAAGCGTAGAGCTGCAAGTACAATAGCATACAGGTCTTCTGTGATACCGTATCTTGCACCGTCTATTACTAACGCCGAAAGCCTTAAAAATCAAAATTAGGTGAATTTTCTTGATCGCTTCATTATGCTTCTTGTTTCTACAGTTCTATGTCCTTATCACAAAAGAGCGGCTATGCGACAGTTGAATGCTCACTCCCCCACGAGGCGAATTAAAGCGATTTTTTGGCTGGACTTGACTTGGCAGCGAAAGGTTTTTCTCGTCACCGATTTTTTTCAAACAGTTTACTTCAGAGCCAAATGTAAGAACACATTCCCCAACCAGCTCGACGACCAAACCACCAGTAGCTCCGAGTTTGTAATTAATCCGATTACGTCCGATATACCGTCTTCTCCTGCAATTTACATTTGTTTAACCAAGTCCTTGAATACAATACGAAGTGTAGACCGAACTCATGTAACCATTCAACCTAGTCTGAAACGAAACGCATCGGCTACAAACTTAAACCAAGTAGAAAGGGGGACAGGGAAACAGAAACTACTTTTATTTACAGAAGAATGCACGGGACAGTACATACAATGGTTGTAAGGCGAGTTCAAACTAAAATGGGGTTAGTGCACAAACATGCTTCATCAACTCCATTTCACTATTCCCAGGCTGGCAAACATCTTGCGTAATTTGGCTGCCGCATACAATACAGATCGAACGGGACCAGCCGAAATTACTCCGAGAGCTGTCTGCTGTATGCTCGACCGCCGAACTGTACCTTCAACTGCGCGTTTGACCTTGGTCTGGACCGTATTCATGGTAGGCATATGAATTGACCACTGACCCTTAGTATTAGACTTGCTTTGCACAGCAATTGAACGCAGTCGTTCCGGTAAGTTGTTTAGCAGTCTTTCGATTAGACTGGGGTCGTTTCGGGGTGGAATAATATGAAGCGCAAACTGGTCTTTGGTTTCCGCCTCCGTGAGCGGTTTGAATGATACAAACTCTCGAATGGAGGGATCGGAGAAACAGGGCGCATACAGCTGACGAAATCTAGTCACTCGTTCAAGACCAGTTACAAGACGAGTAACTTTGTTTCTATCTTCGCCCACAATCATGCGCCAGTCTCCACTGTACGAAATGGAAGCCAATGCATGAAACAGGTCTGATTCGGGAATGGTGTGTTGTGCCGGAACAAAAGTGAGAAGCACATAGCTTAGAGCAGCAAGCAAGTTGGCCTTTTGCGCTTTATCAAGTGGTGCGTAAGATGACTGTTCCCCTGTCCATGTCTTGCCATGTTCCACATCACTGATGGGAAGCCAAAGTACCGGTTTGTGCAACCGGCCTGCAACGTACAGGTTGGACCAAGTATTCAAATCTGAAATCACATCGTCCAAACACGCTACGCCGTATTTCAGCATCAGAGTACTCCCTGTTCCTTGGTCATCATGCCACTGTACCAGAGGATTGTAATAGACCCTAGGTCCAGGCCAACCGGTCAAAATAGCTCGAAGGGCAAATGGCATATAGCTTTTATGCTTCACGGTACGCATCAGCATATTGTAGTGTTCTGGGTGACGCTGAATGTTTGAAAAATGCCACTGAACAGGATTAGTAACAATTAGTACCAAATCAATTTGTCCGTTTCCAGAGGGACGTCCATGTTGTGGAAAAACGACAGAGCCGTAGGCAAAAGCACCAACTAAGTTGTTTTGCTGAGGGGATAGACTACGGATAATGCGCCGGAATAATGGTAAAGAGAGAGAAGACATCCGGACCACGATAAGACTTGTTGCTGTAAATAAGATATTCGTAAAACAATTTAGGATGGAGAGATACGGGTAATTCGTTGAACAGTACCGGATTGGATATCTTCCAGACGACGTCGACCTCTTCGTAAAGCAGCTTCGATTTGCAGAATATCCGTTCGTTTGTAGAGAGCAGCTTGACGACGAAATTCTTTTCGAATAGTTTCGCGTAGAGCCAAACGTTCGGAGTCGTTCAAATGAAGTGTTCCCGACGATTGTGTCGTAATCACCGAATCACGAGGAACTGCCACTGTACGAAGGAAGTCACGATATAACCGTATTACTTCCCTTTGTAGCTTGCTACGAACCACCGACATGGAAACCGAACAGCTGTAAATGAACATTTGTAATATACATTATTACTTTACTGACAATTTCTTCACAAAATCAATGAATATCAGTGACTGCTATTTGACTTCAATAAAAAAGGAAATAAATGTAATGAAAGCTCATTGCTATTACGAAAAGTGAAGGCTAACAAAGGCTACCATCAATTATGAACGTGGAAAGCAATGCCAACCACTCCCCCCATGCGTGTGGACAATTAACTGTGCAGAATGAGAAAAGGAGTAAGATCGTTTATGAGTGACTGAATATGTGTGCTACTGCGATCAACAAACGGTAAACGACCGAAATAAGCCAACAAGAATTCAAAATATATCAGGTGGAAAATTTTAACATTGCCAATTTACCCTAGGTGTTTCTAGCCTAATGTTGACACGGCTTTTGAGTTTCCACCTATGTTGGAATCGTTGAACATTCTTCAAACTTCGTTTCCAAATTACTGAGACACCAAAACATTTTATTTCATTATGAATTGCAGGTTTTTAGAGCTTGGAGACCGGTGCCTATGATCATGGCAACAGTTTGAATTTATCTAAAATCTGACGGATCTGACTGCAGCAGTTATGTTCCACACTATTAACTTGCCAAAATATCACGAACCTCGGTTGGATTCAAACCCACGCAGGGATACCGCTCAAGCCGATGTACAGCATACGTTCTACCGGTTGAACCACGAGGCCAGACCCACAGACCTGATCACTTCACATTCATCAGACACAACTTACAGAGGTATATGAGCACACCAGCTAGCATAGAAGCTGAGATCATCATCATCATCGTACGGCGAGATACAGTGAAGCGAGCTACGGTGATCGCTGCCAAGCTCACAATGTACACAAATCAAATGATAAAGCAAAAGATGGAGAGGGATTGGGTCTA